TGGCGTATAATGTCCAACAATTTCTGGATGACTAATATGCTTCACTTCTTCCATGGCCCATGCATTCACTGTATTTATCACTTGTTGAGCATGCGTGATCTACAGTCGCAAAATGCCAGGCATACTGGGACGTTCACTTGATGGAAGAATTTATTCATTTATCGAGTTGCATAATTATGCGTTTTTTTGGAAGACGAAACCACGACCATTACACCACGAAAACTACGACCACTACACCACGGCTTTTAATTTCCCCCTTCATTTTAAAAGGTGTACTGTATCCCCATTTTATATAGCCTTATCTTACTGCTTTTAAAAAATTCACGCTTCTGCAATCCAGCGTAAACAACATGAAATCTCCAAACAAATCGATATAAACCATTACTCCTAAACCTTTTGTCTTAAACGACAGACAAAAAAAAAAAAAAAAAATACATCTGAAGTACCGCACGTCCTCAAACAGTGCTTCCACTTTTATCTTTAGGATGATTTTTTCCGCATGGAAATATGCCTTCGATTGAGTTTTAATCTAATATTTTTCTGAAGCGCATATTTTTGACATTAACTTGAGTGTCAGTTCGATTAGAATGACACATTTGCAAAATGTCGTAACTGAGAAACAGTAAAACTCTAACTGTCTTTACCATTCTTATAAATGAATTACTTGAATACTAAAATCAAATATCATGTAAATCAAGTCTTTTCGCTTGCGACCTTATAGCGTTCCACTTCTTAATTAAGTTAGCTTTGTCCCTACTGAGACTGTCAGATTTATTCCTCGTTTATGGAAATTAAAAATGAGATAGAGAAAGTTTAAGAATTTTTTTTTTAAATTTCTAATTTAACTTAGCAATTCATGGCTTGTACGTACAAATAAATCGCCGCAGCTTGTGTGACTTCAAGGTTACATAAAACTGTGATTTAAAATTCCTGGATGTTTACAGTGCAGAAGCCTCACAAGCGTTGGATCAATTCTAATTAAATGTACGAGTGATTCGGCTAGCAAAACGGCTAAAGCCGAATAAAGTAAGTCTCGGAGCTGGTCAAGGAATACTACAACGGTCAGCGTCTAGGCCAAAGCTCTCTATCTGATTTTTCAAGAACTCATATATACGTATCTAATTTACATCCTGGTGAGAACTAACGAAAAGTAGAAAGGCTAATACATTTCAAAATCATAAGATAGCGATTAATTAAATTAAAAAGTTTAAAAACCTATTTTGACTGATTGAAATTTTTGACGACTCTTTTTTTTTCTGTCGGTCTGATTTAAATAACGATAAAATTTATTTAAATTTGAATATTGTGCTTTATGAGAATTTTTAAATAAAGGAAACAATACAATTTAAATAGGCATTAAAACATGTTAAAAATTCATTAAAAGTGCAACACTGCTGTATTTTATTATTTACAAATAAATTACAAAGTTCATATTTATTTTTTATGCAAAAGCTAGAGTTACCGAATTATTGATAAAAAATAAGTTTTCAGATATGTGTTCCTTATTAATTTTTTTTAATCATCCAGAAGGACGAGCACCCTATTTTGAGAACCTCTGCTCTGGCTATAGGGAATTTCGTTTATACATTTATAAGCATACTTACATTTAAATTCTTAAAACTAGCTTTTATACATCTCCAAGTGTATCTGAGGTTATCCTGCAATAAATTTCCTGCCAATAGGCAGGGTGCTTGGCGTTTTTCTTCATTTCCGTCATGAGTAACACGAGTACAAGACTGCTCTTCCTTAGAAAGACCTCCACAAAGCCATCAGTTCTAGGGCAGATATCACTCGCATACTTTATTATAAACTATTTACAAAAACCTATTTGAAGTGATGTTTCTGGATGTGTGGATGTAGCGGTTGATTCTAAGGCATGTATCACTCGCATACTTTGTCGTAAACTATTTACAAACCGGGCCTTCTGAAGTGATATAATTAGGTGCAGATGTTTTTGGATGTGTGGATATTTTAAACCATAAAGTGTCTCTCTTTGGAAGAAAATTAGTGAAGTATATGGTATAGGAATTGATTTTTACTAGCTTTGTAAAGCGTACGATTTGCTTAATTTTAATATTTCCAGGGTGTAATTACCACCTGTGCCTCCAGAACTCAGCCCTTGTTTCCAGATTTTAAGAGGTATAAAATAAGCCTAATATTTCTCACAATCATGTTTCTTTTCTCCTTTCGTGATAATAAGGAAAATGGCCATTGTTGGGAGCGAAAGATCTTCGTCCGTAGATCCATAGATTGTCACTGGGCACGGAATATGTTTGCAAGTTTTGCTCAGTTAGTAAATTGTTCTCCCTATTTCACTTAATTCTACCCTACTTTATTTATCTCAGATGAATGTATCCATATTGTTACGTTTTGAACTTTGCAGGTATAAATTTTCCCTTTAGTTTAAGTCACATTTACATAACACGACATATCATGCAACGACTGAATTCATTAGCAAGACTTATGAAATTACCTTGCATAGGTTGACTATATTATTATTATTTTTTATTCTTTACATAAATTTGGTGTAATTTATAATTTTTCACGAAATTGTACTTTTTCATGGGACTTTTTTAACATGTAGTTCAACATAAACTTATACTTTAATGCATAAGTAAATATTTTTAAATAATTTATTCATTAAATATGTTACTTTCGTGTAGAACCCGGCACTGATTTTTGTGTTTATAAATAAAGAAATTTTTGACGGTTATATGATTTAAAAATTACACACTTCTCAAAGAAAAAGAACAAAATATTTCGGAGAGGAGATAAGGATGAATTAGCTCTCTTCAAACCATCTTATATTGAGTGGAAATCTTCAGACTTCAGGAATATATGGCACTTTAAAGATTCTAAAAGCACTCAGATATTCTCAGTTTATTTTTATTTCAGATTTTAGTCTTGATAATCTCCCAAATCCCATTAGCTTCGCATTAATTGATTAATAACTCTTATTTTGAAAGTTTTGTGCTGCTCAAATTACGATAAAAGCTTGAATGTGAGCATTCGGTAGGCAATTAACGCGCAAACATCATCGAATGTCCTACTAGGACTAGCCTTGAACAGGTTGTCATGGGAACGACATGGCGCTGAAATTTTACGAGTTGGTGATTCTTAGACAGAAGCTGTCAGCCGGCCACTCACCAGCTTAAAGTTTCTGAGGTAAGCTGTCGTTCAGTGTCTTACATTTGTTTTTATCGTAAAACTGTTGTTTGTAAATTCTTCTCCGGATATTTTTAGAACAAAATAAGAAATTCTTATTGTTCTTCTCAATTATGCATTAATATTATGCGGTTGAAGTTAATTTTAGATAATAATAATATAAATTGCTAAGATTTCTGAAAATGATATTTTTTATACAGCTGTTGATGTTATCTTTACTTTTGTTTCCTTCAACTTGAATTAATTTAAACTCGCATATAAAGTTTTTGCTGTTATCACAATATAATGATGTTGAACATGTTTGATTTGTTGTTTTTTAGAAATAAATGTTTATGTATAATCTTATCAGAAATAAGCTGATAATGATAAAAAATCAAACATAAAAACTTAAAGAGTATGATTAATATTTTATATAATATAGTTAAAACATGAATGAATAAATTACACAAGCCTGCGAAACTTTGCGAAAATTATTTTTATACTTTGATTTGAAACTATATTTATTTGGGGGCTATCGAATCAAGAAATAAGTGAAAAATGTTTTCGTCACTTACGGTTTTGTTTTGTGTCACTTCTTTTTTGACTGGTGAGTTTGACTGACGTTTCATTTATATACCCTGTCGAGCTGAGGAAAATTAATAATAAATAAATAAAATTAAACTAAAAATAAATATGAAATAATAAATAACTAAAATAAAACAACCTTAGGAGAAAATCGTATATATACTCAAACAGGATGTACTTTATAAGACTGAAAAATACTTTTACATTTATACTGATAATGGGGCAGCCATCGAATGGGTTGAATTTGCATCTCGGCAATTAAACCCCATTATCAGAATTATTTATAAACTTGAGTGAAAAATACTACAGCTGTTTGCAGAAGCCGTTTAATTGCAGCTGAACAAACAATGCTCTTATTAACTGAACAGCTTAAAGATTTAAATTTTTGTAGCATACTTTCAACTATGGTCAATAGCTAGAGTACTTGCTGTTAATCAAACAACTTAGTTGCTGACATCATTGGGACAATCCAAACTTCTTCTTTATGGTGACTCATGCAGAGTTTTCATCTAACATTAATGTTCGGATGTCTAGACCGACTAAAACCCTCTTTCATTTTGGCCACAGATAGAACTGTTAACTTTTCACTGAGATAGTTAAGGCAGTTATTTGATATAAAGAGAGAACTGCCAACAGGAGTAAGTCTGAAGGCAAAACAGAAAATTCATTTTCATTTGCGATGAATAAAATTCTGTTTGATCCTTGAACCTATAGTACTACAACTTATGGCATTACGCCGCTTTCTGTTGCTAATTTTTATTCATTTACTTAGCATTAGCTCTCTCTGAGTGCTCTCTTGTAAAAATGGTCTGCATTTTTGGTAAAGATGACCAAACTCCGTAAAGATCTTAATAATTGCATTGTTCCTTCCTCATTCCGAAGAAATTTCTTCACTAATTTTGCCCTTCGAGAAAACTGTTTCTATATGAATATAGAGAGTATTTCAAATAAAAGCAGACCTAAACCAAGCTGAAAATCTTTCTAATTTGGCTACTGTTAAAGACACACTATTTTTGTAGTTGTGTTGTGCCATAAAGCTGTATGTTAGACTTATGTCCAAGGAGTGTTCTACTAATATTTGATTTAGATCTACTTTTATTTAGGACTGTGTGTGCAGGCCGCCAATATAATTAAAGTTTTGTTCATATTTCATGAAAATCGATCTTTTAGAGTTTTTCGTAATGCAATTTTTTCGATTGTTCTTTAATTTATAGAAACAGCTGCAATTTATAAAATAAAAAATTTCACGATTTTTTTTTTTTTTTTTGCAGATTTTAGCTTTTCCCTCCCCCTCTAGAATTCTATGCATGATAGCAGGAGCGTATCCTGAATTTCCATTAAGGGCATGCTGCTGAACGCCAAATATTTCACAACTTGTAATGAAGATTGTAATTACATGCATTTGAAGGTTGAATATGATATTTGCATATTAATATGTTGTCCAGCATTGCATAATATGAAACATAATTAAATGCATATAATAAAAGCTTTAAATTCCTCAGATTTTAAATTTTTATTATATGCTATTATTTAATAAATGCATACAATAAAAAATAAAAATTTTAAATTCCTCAGATCCTCCTTAGGTCGGAAATGGAAATTTTTCAGGTAATGTTTGCAGACAAATTTGCATCATAATTGAATTTTGCTTCATTTATGCAGATCGTACTGTAATATATTTCTAAGTGTAATCTGCAATGACAAATTTTTATATTAATCAGTGATAAAATTTGATCAATGGTACAGTTAATGATGATATTAGCAAAATCAGTTACTCAGTCTTATTAATTTCACTAATCATCACGAATACTATAAGGTATTTCTCCCGCCTTCCTAGCATGCCTTCGTGGTGTAGTGTTCAGCACACCGAACCGGTATTTCAGAGGTCCGTGGTTCGATTCCCGGCGAAGGCGTTGCTAATTTTTCATCTCTCTTGCTTCCAAAAAATCCTAATGTCTCTATAGTGGCGCTCGAACTAAAAGGGTTGTGGATGATGACTTTCCACATCCGGAATTTGGCGATTGGGTAACCTAAAATTCCAGTCGCCCTTTAAAAAAGGCAGTATATAAGATATATCTCCTGCTTTCCTAGCATGCCTTCGTGGTGTAGTGGTTCTGCACGCTGGGCCAGTATTACAGAGGTCCGCGGTTCGATTCCCGACGAAGGCGTTTGCTGATTTTTCATTTCTTCGGCTTTTCCAATTAACCTAATGTCTCTACAATAGTTTTATTTTTAGAGAACAATCAAAATCTAACTAGCGGTTGAATTAATCATTTTAAAAGCCCGTCTTTTTCAATTTCAGTCATGCTTAATTTTTTTTTTTTTTTTTTTTTTTTTTTTTTAAATCTGCTTCACTTAATAATTGAGGTTTAACACATTATCACAGTGGTCTCAAACTCAACTTGCACGTGGGCTAAATACACAATCTGAAATTAGGAGACGGGCCACAATTAAAAAAAAATAGGAACAAAGAAGAAAAAAATGCTTGTTAACAAAACAAAATTTGTTAACTAAATTAAAAAAAAAAATTTTGGCACCATATTTTTCAAAACGAACCTATTAAAAAAAAAACGAAACCCGAAAGTTGACAAGAAATTTCTGTTTGTCACAGTTTGTAATTCAAACTCATTGACAGTAAAATATTAAAATTTTCAAATTGACATTCATTCAAATAATTGTAATATATTGAAAATACTACTAAATAGCTAAATTTTAACTAGATTTATTAATTTTCATCTACGAAAAAATAAAACTGTTCAAATGTGTGTTCCGAAAAAAGGCGATAATTTTTATTGTAAAAATTCGTAGCTGAGAAAATTTATCTTTCGACAAGTATTAATAAAAGTAATTTGGATCTTCAAATCTTGTATATCGCAGTGTCAATTAATGAACTCCATTTATAGATTTTCCGGAGCGTTACGTCCATTTCTGGTGCTAAAAATAATAAAAAATTAAACTCCAAACCATTAAAATCTTTTTCTTCAAATTCTTGTCATAGCAATGCTAATTAAGAGGAAATTTATTCGCGGGCCGCATAAAATTGCTTCGGTAGCCGCATACGGCCCGCAGGCCGCCAGTTTGAGACTGATGCATTGCTTTAAACTCAGTGTAAAACGTCGAAGCAGGATACTCGCCTTTGCGTAATAATAATGCCCAAAACACAATAATTGTAGAAAATTCAGTACTAGACAACGAACACTCATTTCCTCCATCTAAATGCGAGAGAAGAACTCCATGCATTTAGGGAAAATTTCAATACACTTTCATGTTGCGGGAGGAAATCTTTGTAAGCATGCAGAGGCAAGATTAGAGAAGACAAGACAGTTCATATTGTTCTAAATTTCTAACTCTAAACGAAATCGATCATTCAATGTCAGCTATGTATTTAAAATAATGAACAAGGATTTTATTATTCAACTGAGTTAAAAAATAAAAGAAAAAAAAATGAAAGGTTTCAGATTTTAAATTGCGTCCAAAGGGGCGTTTTTTTTTTAACGTTTTGTGTGTTACCTATATTTATTAAATATCATGTTCCTCGCACTTAAACCATAAAATTCAGTACAACAGCAATATCGCAAAATAATTTTTAAATGAGCATATCTTTAGAATTCACGATACACAGTTCCACGCGCTGGAGATAAAAAGTCCCCCCCCCCGTAGAATTTTGCCATTGCGCGCTTTTAAATCGTTGAGTTGTTAAAGTTGAGATTCGTTAAAGTTTTACAAAATATGAAATCGATAATAAAACAAATTCCAAATTTGGGATTCCAGATGCCTATATTCGGTGGAAACGTACATTACTCGAAATTTGATGGCTCTAGATACCGTTGTTTTATCACAATGCGAGAAACATACATAAATTTGTGCACATTCTTCACATTTGTGCACATTTATAATTTCTTTAAATATAATACAGGGCGATAATATTTGGTACTATTTCATTATTTAATTTGAAAAGGGAATCGGACATTTATAGTGAACCAACGCAAAATGCCAAAACGAAAATAATAGCCGTTCAGGGCAAATTGCCCCTTTTGGCTAATGATTCTTTGTTTTGCTATTTCAAATGTATAGGCATGCCCTAAGACGACGCCCCTGCATAATAGTCATATATGTGCTTTTTTTCTATAGCATAACGATCTTTTTAATTATTAATTATTTTGATTAATTTTCTTAATTTTGTTTTTCGAGTGTGAGTTTATTAATGCAGAGAAGAACTCGGAAACAAGAGATCCTTGTAATTCAGTTGTGAGGTCTCTTAGAGTTGTCAGTTGACGGGACATTTATGATCGCTACACCAAGAAAACACACCGAACTTTATTCTTGATACTTTGCTTCCCCACTCCCTCCCAAGGCAACTGAAGGAATGAGTTGATCTCTAGTTCCCCACTCTGAGATTGATAAAAGTTATTGTTCACCGTGCTTACTTTGAAGGCCAGATGTGGACGAAATAGCCATTTAGATGTAGGATATCTTGAAAAAAATTCATTATATCCTTTCCAAAAGTCGAACACTGCATTTTCGGCATACCAGACAGATATACCGGCCGTTGAACCACAAAAGCAAGGAGAAACTTTTTTTAACTACTTACAAGAATGTCGCTAAAACTACAATTAGAACTCTTTTAAATTTTAAATATCGTAACAGTAATTTTTCTAAGAATTTTAAGAGAGCACAGGGAGATGACTGATTTCTCAGTATTTTAATTATTTGGCCAAGCATTACGTTTTCAATTTGAATTTTATCCCAACATTAAAATTTTGATTTATTTATGGGACAATGCGACTATTAACTTTTCACACAACCTTGAAAACGACGAAATGCAAGAATTTACGAACAAAACAATTATTAAATTTTTGATAAAAGTATGAAAGATAAGGTTTTATGGAATGATTACAGCGGCTGTGCTCTTTGGCTGGGGAGCAGGGAAATGATCTTTGTGTGGCAGATGTTTGTTTGAATATTTATATCAAACTGTATTTATGATCTGCCTGAAAATTCCAACGCCCTCTTGGCCAAAAATCATTTCATTCACGCAACACTCCCCTTTTCTTCTTTAAAAATGAAATCATTGCACTTTCTTAATCATTCATGTTCCTAAAACTAGGGCAAATCGGTCAGCTGTTCTTCGCGCCTAAGTCTTTTTTTTTTTTTTTTTTTTTTTTTTGTCACACTGCCAACTCTTAAAAGCAACTTAAATGTAAACACTGCCCAGAATTTATTGTACGTTCTGAGTCTCATTACTTAAAAACATTCTTAATTTAGCTATTTAAATACAATTTTTGCAGCGGGAAAAATAATAAAAACGATGATTATTTTTTCTTTGCGCACATTAATATACTAGTATAAATTTGGATCGAGAATGAAGAATAAATTTATCTAATATTTATATTACGAGGAAATTAAAAATTTTTGTTTATTAAAAGTTAGTTAAAAAATGGATAAGAATGTAAATTTTAACACAGTTAGGTTTTAGTCTAAGCACTGTCTTAACCATCTTAGACTACCGCATAAATTATTCACACGTCTTTACTTACGAGCTGTAATAAATCAAATTAAAAAAAGTTTATTGTACTTAATGCAATTAAAATGTTAACCTCTGCCTTTTGCGAGCTGGGCAGACAACAATTCAAATTATTTATAAGTCAATGTTTAAATTAAAAATCTTACAGCCTGATTTCGCTACCTTGCAGTTACAACGTAATTTCAATCAAAGACAAATTTACCAGCTCGTTGTATAGCGCTAAAGGCAGGCAGCAACAGAAGAGTTTCAGCATGGCAGGCTGAGATTGGCAACTCTCTTTCCTGATCTTAGATTTTTGTTCCTTATTTAAACTCACTTAATTTTCTATTTTGGTAAAGTACGCGAAGCAGTAGAAGTGCTGTACCGGTTCAACATCAGAAATTAATGGGTTAATTAACATAAACTTTACAGGATGCAAATTAAACTTAAAGTGATTTTAATCAAGTTTAATATCTAAAGATTAATTTGTTTTTGAAGAACAATGGAATAACTTAAAAAAATTTATATCATAAACTCAAACATCTGTACGTTTTTTTAACTATTATATGTTAAAACAATATTAAGAAAAATTCTGAACTGACGTTTTTGTAGAAGAATTTAAGTTCTTTAACAGGAATATTTTATTTCAACAAGTGTGGAAAAAAGAAAGCAATTAGAAACGAGTATTTTTAGAAATATAAGACCTATAAGTACACTTTCAACACTGAAAGCATTTTTAACTTGCATTCTTTACTTATAATTTTATGTGAATTCAGTTTAGCGCGTGTTATATTTTTATACAGTAAATTTCTCGAGTTTTTTTGTCTTTACATTTTATGCAGATAATCAGTTAGCATACAGAACACTTTTCGCTTAATAGTGTATATAAACACACTTAAACAGTTAAAGAAATGAAATTCAAAACCGAATTCGGAAATAATTACAAACATGAGAGATACATTCATTATAGCTAATCCAGTTAATGTATATAGAGCAGC